GGGGGGGGGGGGGGGGCACAGAGTCGCTTGGTAAATGGCGAAAATCCTAACGCTCGCCTACTATATATATAAGAGGAAGAGCAAATGGCGAGAAAGAGGAACGGGGATTCGCGTTTGTCAAAGAAATTTACTTGAGGCGAGAAGATCGTTAAGTCGCCTAAGGATGTATGGAACGGGTCGCAGAAGGATATTCTGCGGTATCCTTTTGAAAGGACGACCGCGTGGATCTCTTCTCACGGGTGTCCTCGTTCCTTTCCTTTGTTCCGTCGTTTCGTTCATTCGCTCGTTCGGTTTTTCCGTAGTCCTCGCCGAGACGATAAATCGAGCCTCGATTCCAATTCTCGCCCTCTGAACTTTCTAGTTTTACGCAAGATAAATCTTTATTCTAGCATTTCTCTCTTTATTCCTTCTTGTACTGTCGCTTCCATCTCTCGGCTCGTTCCTCCCGGCGACTCACCTTATTAAGTTCAACAAATTTCCATTCGCAAAGCTTCTAACTTTAAAGGGTCGAGAAAAAGGTGTTCCATATCAACCATTCAATACGGTTTCAGGATTATGTGTGTATATATATATGTATTTTGAGCTCTGGTAATTATTGTTTTTTTATTTTGCGAATTATACACTACCATTTACTACTGCGGATAGGAATCTTTGGATGTATTCCGATTTTAACTAGAGATACGATATTTTATCAAAGCTCGAGATAGAGAGAGAGATCAAAAGCTATTCCTATTTTGTATTAACGTACAGTCCTCGCAAAGGACTTTCCCGATACGGCAATCTTGCCTGCTAGCAATATCAGTACTGAAGTACTATTACTATCGTAGCGGATACTTGGGTATGGCAAGACTGGTAGCTGGTGGTAGTAGAAGTACTGCTGATATAACGAGTAGGAAAAAGTCGAGTGATGCAAAATGCAAATTGAACTGCTCATGGCGAATATATAGCTCGCGAATAGAATTGGCGAATTGGCCGAGTCCGCTCGGCAGGACTTAACCTAGATATTGTTCTACGCCATTGAATAATGCCCGTGACTAATTTCGCGGATGTGACGTAACACTCATTAAACGAAACAGCATCAGAATGACGCTCAACTAACTAATTACAATTCCGTCCCACGACTCTTCGGGGTTTCAGCGGAAACAAATTTCCGAGCATTCATACAGTAACGTGTACGTCTGTGACGATGTATTTTTTGTAGAATTTTTCAAAATTAATTTTGACTTGCGATCGATCGCACACAGTTGATAAATGTAATTGCAGCTCGTTGTCGATCGATTAAAATTATTGCAATCAATCGAAAATAATTAGGTTCTTAATTGGCGCCTACACTTGTTATTCTGTCCTTAATTGATCGCTCTTCATTGTTTTTCTTACGTTCACGTTTTCTTATAGGATGATCCATGGGATTTTTTTTTTAGTCTCTTGGGATTGAGATCGCGATCAGGATCGAGCTACGAGAATTCTTGGGTTGCACGAAATTATTCGTTGGTCTATCATTTTATTGTCAATCGCAGAGTATTATTATTATCATTTAATACCGTATGACTTTTACCGTAAGTTGAGAAGAAATAGCGTGAGACGTTGAAGAAATTTTTTATTTACAAATTTTTTATTTATTTCATAGTCCTACTTCCACGACTCATTATTTCGCTTTGAGTTGACGAAAATGTTTTTGCGGGATGCTGGAATAATAAGGAAATGATCGATCGGAAGCGCCACTCTCAATTCTCTCGCTTTATACCTGTAATTTACTTTACGTCATTTTCATTTGGTAACGCTATACTTATTAATTGTACCTCGACGTAATTAACCAGTTGTGCTTTTGCCAAAGGCACGAGCTGGAAAAATTACTTGGAGAGTCCGATATGGCGCCTGAAGCTCTTGGCTGCATCATTTCTTGAAACTCCTCGAGTTATGCAACCCGTGGCATTGTATATATGTATATATATTCGCAATAGTAAAAATATCAGTAACTCCTCGCTCCATACCAACCAATTCTCAAGTGCTTGGAAACTTGTATACAATATATATATACATATATACACTGTTAGGCATTTTGCAAAAAATAACATTTCTAACGCAATAATAAACTTAATCCCATTTACCAAACTATTATTGTCTCGGGTGCATCGCAATGAAAGGAGATCCTGTGGCTCGTGCTCTGGAAACTCTAGAGTTTCATGCCTTCCTCCCACATTTATATGTACACCCGTATTAGCATACATATATATCCGCAAAATTCCATACAAATATCCCATACCCTGTATACGTACGTACGCGCATGCATATAAGTATATTTGCATTAGGAAGCACAAGTATATTTATTCGCCGTAGCTTCTTGAATAACGCATTTTTTGTACGCTCACGAAATAATACGCTAACGGTTTCCGTAAAACGTAACCAAACTTTACGACACGATATTTTGTCGCTTTACCTTTGTGCAATTTTCAGCGTGGAATTACCTTTGATACTTTAAACGTAGAACAGGCGTCTAAACTTTTGAACGTAAATTTCACGAGGTTCGGATCGGTAAGGTCGACGCGAAATTCCAATGACGTATATCGTCGAACTCCGAGGGCATTTCATTAAGTTCGATTTATCGCCATACGATTAATTAACCCAACAAATTATCCGTGAAAAGTGAGATGGGCCTTTGTAGCACGTAAATTCGGGTAGCGAATACGAATTATTGTAAATTTTCCTGTAAAATCGTCAGTCGCTGTGGCTCTTCGATAGCGTTGACTGGCGGCGTGACCCGAAGGGGATCGGGCGGGAAGGGGTGACACGGCCAAAATCCGACAACATCACCAGGAATAAATTACGCGGGCAAGTTGAGTAATGCAAAAATGAAGATTGAATAGCAGGGCGACGAGTGTGTGCACGAGGAATGAAAATGAAAAATAACGCTTCAATATTTTTTTTTGACCCTTCATCCAGTGGAACTAGTTTTTCTTTTCTTCCCTTTTCTCTTCCCTTATAACCCTTCACCCTTAACTTCGTTAGTGCACGGTCGACGTGTAAGCGCGTGCGAATGGCACACACGCCGTGGTCCTAAATGGCAATTTATTATAATTTATAAGAGGCACTTTTGGGCCTTACGCATCATCATCCATATGGGGTGGTACGAGTTTCGATATGGTTATGCTATATGGGGGACGCGGGGCCGTTTTACATGGGGATAAATTGAGAGTGAGAGCCTGGAGGGGGATGTTGAGAGACGCGCACCCCTCATTTTAGACAAGAATGCATATTACAGGCAGAGGGAGGCTGAGCTTTCCAAAATGTTTACTCGCGGCTAAGGGGTGCTTGGTGATTTTTTGGGGCGACTAGGTATGGAGGGGGAGCTGATTTTCGATGAGTATGTTTTTCGCACGGATAGAGGGAGGCACCGAGGAAAGAGTCACCCTGTTAGAACTTTCTTCTTCCTCTTCTTCGTCGTTTTGTCCGATTCTTCTCCCTTTCGTGAATTGTATAGGTATACCTTTCTCCCAGTGGGATCGCACACCCTTCATTTTACTTGATTCCCTCGTACAGGCTATGGGTACCACACATACCCATAGTCAGTTTACCTTCGCACCCCTCGGGTCCATCCATTATTTTTTGCCAACCAGGGCATTCTGTGTTCTACGATCTGCCTGCCAATTCCGAGCGGGACTTTTTTTTTCTTCTTTCTCCTTCTGGACTATTTTTCTATCGCTCGCTGGACCAATTTCCATTCTCTCTCGTCTCCACCAGCTACCCGGTACTCGGCTTGCCCGGGCTTCTTATTTAAACGCGAAATCCTGGGTCTGCAGCTTGTCAAACTAAAGACACATCCCCTATGGTGGTCCAGCCCCTGTCACATCTCAAGAGTCTCGTATTATATTTCCATTAACGGCACGGTTGTCGGGTACTGGTTTTCCCCTGGACGAAGGCTGAGAAAAATAAACGAAAAATTCATCGCGAATATGCGAAATATCCAACGTTGTTTAGCAAGTTCGTGGTTAAACGGATATTCGCTTTTTTCATATGTCAATTGCATCCTGGGAGGCTTTCTAATACCGTGTAAGCACGTCCGTTGAAATATATGCAATTAGCCTAATACGCTACTTGCACGGTCTTCAAATCATATACATTGACGTTATGTTCTGTGTTGGAGATGTAGGGGAAAAAAAGTGACGAAAACTGCAAACCGAAGCGGAAAATAACGAAAAAAGAGAAAAACTAAGTAACGAACTGAGATAAAAGGAAAATCGTGGCGGTAGAGCATTCCCATGCAGTTGAGCGTAGCAGTGGCGCACCTGGCCAGTCTCTCTCTCGAGGATACCGTACTTACTATATTATACCGACGTACCACGTTTATACCGACCGACAGACTATATACACCCAGCCAGTCCCACCGTACCCTTGGGGATCACCCAGTCATCGCAAAGTCACACGTCATGGCGACGCGTCGAACGTCATCAGGGTCATCACGTAGAAAAATCTCCACAGGCGTAAACAGCCCGTACGCCGTTTCAACGTAGCGCATATATAGTACGCCATGGATATACTATAGATTATTTTGAATTCGTCTAGAATACCTGAGCAAGGCTTTCTCTCGACGAATCTTATACATATTGGACCAACAAGATAGAGGGAGATAGAGATAGGACGGTTATCGTAATCTTGTCATACGCGTACCGTCTGGACTCTATGGAATTTCATAGTCCGTGCGAGCAAACTCTGTGGAACTTCTATACTCCATTCGCCGATGTGTATTTACCTTACCGCACTCGTGTAGACAGGCACGCGTTGTAAGGAGTTAGCTTGTACGACTATAGGCATGCACTATAGCGCTACGGTAGGTGTAATCCTCTTGAATGTCCCTGCTGACGTAGTACTCTAAGCCGAACGGACTATAGCCAGCCCGGTACTCTATAGTGCTTATAGTATATTAGCTGTGGCATTCCAGCGTATGTCAGTACCCTGAGCCAACGCACAAGGGAAAGAACCAACCGGCATGCCGAGGCTCTAACTTCTCCCACCGTTTTACTTGTGCCCCAGTCAGTTTGTCAGTTTTGTCGTTCTGTTTGTTCGTCAGTGGCTTACCGACGCTTCTTGGGTGTGGTATTATTACTTAGAAATTCCCGTTATTCCCGCTCGAACTTCATATTCTTATTGTCTACCCTACTCGTCTGACACCCACCTTTACACCAATTCTTCCTTATTACGTGTAATAAGGACTCTCTTGGGGGGAGAGCTTTTTTCCTGTATCTCTGTATCTTTGTTTCCTCTTTTACCTTCCATACGATACTTTGTCGTCGGCAGACAAGGTATCGTTGTGTTTCGTGACTTTGCCGCGATATCGAATGTAACGGTGTGCGTTAGTGAAAATAATGCACCCTGGGACCGATTGGTACAGAAGTATTTATTCCGAGGATATTCTCTTTCCACGTGCTACCCATTGTCCTTGACAATTGTGCTCGGTGGTTGCTGCTGTGATTGCTCGACGTGTGGGAATGTACAGTGTGCGTGCAGTGTCTTCTGGGTTTTCTTTCTTGCTGCGAGACACAAGAAACGTAGTGAAACGGTTTTGCGAAAAGGATGACTGTACCTGAAGAGTGAGTAATTATGTCCATTAGTTTCTCGAGCGTACGTCGACATTAGTTTGACGGAATTTTTCCAAATTGAATTTGCAAGGTTTACGTTGATGCCTTGGTGTGCATTCGCGATACTGCATACCAAGTTACGTATAAACGCGAAAATTCACTACGGCTTTAATAAATATTTTCGAGTGCGTCGACGTATATGACACATGTATATATACATCGGATATACCGATGGTGAAAACCAGCCGAAAACAACGTATTTTCGGGTTGTTAGAGAGAAAACTTTGGTTAATGAGTAAATTCCAATTTGGCTACACGGCGAAATCGTTGACGCGGGTTTCGCGTTGTTCGTTCTGCTAATTTTCGTAATGGACGATTGCAGTTACGCTCCCTCGATTTCGCGTCGGTGCGTCACTCGTGCTGGACACGTTGTTGTCAATAAATTGGAGAGATCCAATTTCGATGAGAAACGAAACGGAACTTGGGGTAAACATAGATACACGAGTGAATACAATGGTCGCTGCTTTGAGGATAGGCCACAAACACATTTAACCACTGCGTATCGTCCGTACTATAAAAGTAGTTAAGTAGCGTCAATTTAAAACGTTTAGTTCCGTTTCGTGTTCTTTAGTTTATAATGCCGAAAGTACGGTAACCAATGTAGGTAACCTGAACTTCCGGCGGCCTCGATAAGGCCCAACTGAGACAGTCGGACGGGCATCCATTTTAGGATGCTTACTTGAATCAGGCGGTTTAAACACTTCCTGGAAATCGCCAAACCGTGCAAAAGCCTTTCCTCTTGTATATATACGTCTAGTTGAGTTATATAGATATAGTATATAACGATATATCTTCATTGTGTAGAGAAAGCCTAAAAGTACACCGTTTCTCCTTTGGCCTCCGCCTATTCTGTATGGTAGCACTCTTGTAACGTGTACTGTACGGTACTGGGATATCACAACTGTACTTGGCCTAACTTTACGTTATTGTCGTATATTCTTTTTGCTTGGTCTCTTTTCAATAGAAGAAAATGGAAACAAACGCACTCGAAACACTCAGCCTCATGGGTCTGTCGAGTAGATACTTTCGCGAGACACTTCACTCCAGTGGTGGCAGTCGATGGGTTGTAGATGGCGCCTAAGTTAACCGGCTCTGTTAAGTGGGCATTACTGAGCGAATGTTACTGCAGTCAACGAATGACGTTTAAACGGCATAAATTTTGTACACGCAAAGCGGAACGACGATTCACGTTTTCTCTGTAGAAATCATGCGAATTTTATTATTATTTCTAACAAAATCGGTATTACGATACCACGGGGATACCAAGTGAAATCTGCGATACGATTCCTTTTCTTTTGTGTTGTAAGTGAATTTTTAAATATTCCCTTGTTTTTTCCCTATTCGTCGCGTAGAGACGCGTAAATTAATGTCGTAGTAAAATGGGCGAATGTCGCATTTCCGTTTCCTGTCTGCCGTTCGAGTATGTCCCCCTTATTCATTGTACAGGATGGAATTAAAGATAAAAAAAGGGGTGAAACGGAGTGAGAGAGAGGAGAAGGTGTAGTAGAGGGTCGTGATAAAGAAGTTGAGAAAGAAATGGGCGAGAAAAAAGGATCGTTGAAAGAGAGGCTTAAATAAAGGCGAGATTGCAGGGAAGAGAGATACGAAAGGGGTTGCGATAGAACAGCGGCTGAGGGGTGGTGGTGGGTGTGTGTGGGGGGGGGTCGTGTATGAAGTGAAAAAAGGAGATAAATAATGAACGATAAAGAGAAGGGAGAAGCGAGGAGACATAAGAAAACTGGAAAGACGTAAAGAGCGGGTAAAAAAAAGAAAGATGGTACTTTTCACAGGAATTTCAGCACGACCTCCTTCTGCCTTCTCATCTCGCTTAAGGTCTTGCCGATCTTTTCTTCGCGACGCTCGCAGTCTTTTCGAGTTCACGTACTGTAATTACATGGAAACCGGAGCGTTCCGTGACACGTGACTCGCCCCGTAACTTTCGCAACACGATTAAAGAGAAGAACGTAAGGGAAAAAATTATTCTACCGGATCTTGTATTTCTTCGGTGTAACGCAGGCTTCTTGTTCCACCCAGTGAAACGCCATTTTTCAAGCTGCATCTCTATTGTCGGAGTTTCGCTTACGTGATTTATTGAACACCGTTGACTATATGCGATAATTAGTTTATTATATATATATATATATATATATATATATATATATATATATATATATATATATATAGAGAGAGAGAGAGAGAGAGAGAGAGAGAGACTGCTCGTAGCCCCTGTAATAATTGTAATCGTCTACAATGATTAGGTTAGTAATTTTTGGCCATAGGGCGCGTGCACAACGCAACGTCACATTGTAATAATACGAATAATCGCGAAAGTCGAGAAGCGGCGGGCGTTGAATGGAAACGGAAAATTACACGTTTCGCGTCGAGTGAGAGACTATCCGATTTAACGGGGGTTTACTGTCTGTCGGGTTTAGTTTTGCGCGAAGTATCGAGGAAATTGACAGGTGGCTATGTTGCAATTGAAATTTCCTATTCCGCAATACCTATTTTCAATTTAGATAGATTCGACTCGTCCCTCGTACCTCCGTATTTCTAATGCGCAATAATTTAGCCTTTGGTTGTTTGACTAACCCCTCGAGAAAAGAAATAGCACTGTAGAACAGTCGTTCCGGCATTTATACTGTGTTACTGTTTCTTTTTTAAATACAACTTTTGATGGCATTCTCGAGTGGAGGAAGAAAAAGTCATTGTGCATTCACACGCTAAAAAAAAGTCAACCCTCAAAGTGTCACTTGAAAATATTTTTTAAACCGCGCTAAGGTCCTCGTCCCTCCTGTGCATTAACACCGGGGATGTCTTTTGGTCTTCGTCACGTTGTGAACTCACCCTAAGGGTTCCTCAAGTATGCATGGTATGCGACGTGTATATCTCTGACGCTTACGCTGGAATTTCTCCAGGGTGGATGGAGGACCAGGTTTCTTGGTACTTGAAAAAAAATTCACACGCTTTCAAAGTAATTTTTTATCTCTCTTTTTTTTTTTTATTTTTCTGATTTCCTACATTATTATACTAATTAAGGTTATAGTTTAGCCATAATTTTTCTGGCTACTTCAATTAACATTCTGCTATCGAACGCGTCCGATGTACCTTGTTATATATTGAGACAGGATATAAGGAGAATACAATCGTATTTATTTATCGTACTAATAGGTACCGGGCGTCTTTTTAAATACTTGTTCAACAATACCTTTGTACTTGTACACGTGTACGATGTGCCGTAAAACAAATCGTACGTCCTACATGAATATTAGTACGCGTGACCGTCATTAATGATCATATAGAAAGGTCGTTCAAATATTTTAATGTATCGGGTGTGTCATATCGGTCCATTGTGTGTTAATGAAAGTACGAATGATGTCGTGGTACCATCACGATGACTGTACGTGAGTCGAATGATATTTTTTTTTTTCCCCCCCTTTATCTGGACTCCCGTTATTTTTTCTCTCTCTTTGTTGCCCTAAGAAATAAATCAATAACTAACAGTAGTGCGCTCCATGCTATTGACAATACTTCATGTGCAATCTTGGTTTATTTGTCTGTCTAGAATGGCTGCCGAAGTGGCCAACAAGAAAGCCGAACGCGAAGCTCTCCGCGGCGTTATACAACAATGGAACGCGAATCGGCTCGACCTTTTCGAGCTTTCCGAGCCGAACGAGGTAAACGGAGCATGTATCTTTATTATTATTATTATTTACGTTACTCTCATTGTTCTTAACGGCAGCGACAGTGGAGCTTATTGATTTTTCATATTTGCTTCTCCTTCCCTTTAGGATCTGGAGTTTCACGGGGTGATGAGGTTCTACTTCCAGGACAGCGGACAGAAAGTCGCTACCAAGTGTATAAGAGTCGCATCCGATGCAACCAGTCAAGCTGTGATCGAGACGCTTATAGAGAAATTTCGACCGGATATGAGAATGCTCTCGGTACCGGAATACGCGCTGTATGAAATACATGAGAATGGTGGTAAGCAAACCTGAGCTGTTGGTTTTCTTTTTTTTTTTTGTTTTTCAATGTATGGTGACTGTTATTGATTGCGAGTAACAATAAATGTTTGTCGCTTACGCAAAACAACTGAAGGTATTACAACTTGCAGAGGAGCGGAAATTGGGTCTCGAAGAAAAGCCGCTACTCGTTCAGCTGAATTGGCACATTGACGACCGCGAGGGACGTTTCCTTCTTCGTCGAATCGACGACAAAACCAATGCCCAGGGTGTTGGCTTCTCCGAGGGTTCCAGCTTTCGACGAAAGCTCAGTAAACGCGAGAAGAAGCAAATGAAGAAGCAGGAGAAGCTCAGCAGGCTGAAGAGCTCGGCTGCCGGGGAACAGGATGAAAATTCGATACCGCTCGATCAGAATGGCGTGGCTGAGAAACTTTACACAGGTAGATCTATTTTGGGGAAAGTTTATTTGTCGGTGTATCTATGTTTAGAATTTGTAGTGGGACCGAGGGCGGGTGAAAGGTGTGTGTGAACTCTTAACCTATTGTATGCGAAACTTATGTTTTGAAATTGGCGAGGGGCTGATCGAAGTGGGTAGTTTTTGTTCGTTCTTTTGCCTTTTCTTTTTTACTTGCTTTCTTACCTTTGATTGAAACTATCATTGCTTTATCTGTTACAATGGAAACCAAAGCCAAGGTCGTGCCAAGGGAAACCAAGCACCAAACGTGCTCTTATTCTTCGGGTTCTCGCGATAAGCGAGTATCATCGATTAGCCGCTACGTTGCCACGGCTGCCTTCTATAAAGCTGCGATCGATATTTTACATGTAAATTGAGAGTGACTCTTAGGGCACTGCTGGATAGTCAGGTTGGTTTGTTCAGGGGGTCCAGGGGGCTTGGGGATTGGGGATAATAGGGGGCGTGGGGAGATATAGAGATAACTGTAAATAACGCACAAGAACTGAATGATAACGGACATCAGTAGTCTGAAATGTATGCGTGGATCGAAATCAAAAGATATTTGGTGTCATATTTTATTTTTCGTTTGGGTTACAATGTTTAATTACGAGAGTTATTACGTGTTTTAATGTACGTATGGCGCTATTGGCTCTTTGAATGAAAAATTGTATTTTTATTATAAACTATCTGCTTGTCTCTGGCAGCGTTGAAGCGATTAATGGAAAGTACAAAAAAATACTGTGAAAGTCTTACGAGCGTGTGATGTTAGCTTATAAACTTGTAGAAAAGTTGGCGGCTCTACGGTGCTGCCATCCATCGTTGCGTACGGCTTTCCCGGATGGTGGATGTAAGATAAATGGTATCGTTTGTTGGTCCGTAAAGTGTCATTTGAGTTACGAAGTTCTTTATTCATCAGTTAAGCTTTCGTTAAATCATGGACTTGCATGAACTGTCACTGTAACTCATTTCTTGTATCAGTTTTGGATGTGTTGAAAACTCAAAATTTTTCCTTAATTTCAGAATTACCGGAAACAAGCTTCACGCGCAGCATATCAAATCCAGAAGCGGTAATGAGACGTCGTCGTCAACAAAAATTGGAACGGAAGTTGCAACAATTTCGCAGCAAAGACGGCGGTCCTGATACGGGCGGTACTCTTAAGATCTACGGAGAAGCTTTATGCAAAGACGTTCCGTATAAAACACTTTTATTGAGTGTACGCGATTCTGCGGCCCAGGTCGTGCGTGAAATGTTATCCAAATATGGATTGGACAAGGTGGATCCACAACAGTACTGCCTCGTGCAGGTAAATAATAATTTTCCCTATGTCTTTCTTCTTGGCATTGTTTGAAACATGTTTTTCTTGCTCGAATTACCGATCGAAGGGCCGTTGCTAAATTCTAGCATTACCGACTGTCGATAAGGTAGACATGTAACTTATCGGTGAATAGGTAGAGAACTTTCCTCAACGGGACGAAGATATTAGCTAGGTTCCTGGAGTTGAATCGAAAGTGAAAATGCATCCTATATGTCTATAGCTCATTATATATAGGTATAAAACATCATACGTATTTTACTTCTCAACTCCTGTGAAAACCTGGTCATTATTTCTTGTATTCTATCACTATTCGCACTCTCACTTTTCTTGGGACAGCAATACTGCACCAACCTTTGATTAATTTTTATCGCAATATCGATGAGACACTTAACTTAATTGAAGTTAAGTCGTTTCTACGAGAAGCACCTTGAGTCAATTTAATTAAAGAAAAAGTTGCTGTCGATGCTTTTCTGGCACTATCTTCATGCTCCCGTTGAATAATTTTTTCTCTTCAGCAGATATCATAACTTCGTAAAGTTAACTGAAGTTTACAGTTTTCTCGACACACACGTATTCGTGCATATATTATATATATATTGCACAAGAAAGAGTGATTTACGTTTGTGGTTTTATTTTATTACAGGTAAACGGTGAAAATACAAATACACATCAAGAATACATCCTGGACGACGACGAGTGTCCCTTGGCAATTCTTATGAATCATCCCTCCACGCGTGGTGAGTCTTGAGATAAAAGTACAATGTTTTTATATCCGCGAATTGAATTTTGTTCACATATTTATCTATGGCCGAAGTATTCTCTTCTCCTATTAATCTTCAGCTTTTTTTGTCCCGTGATATAGTGCAAAAATCGCACTGGAAGTACCCAGTAAATTTGATAAAACCATTAAACGTGCCGCTCTGGCACTTTACTCCAACAGCCATCATGCCTCTGTCACGCCATCATCAGTACTTTTTCGTGAGAAATATTAAAAAAAAGAAAAAATAACTATCGATACACCTCATGATCGCTAAAGCAATTCGTTACGCACGCACTTTATTTTCGGCTGAACCAGGTAGATGGCGCTCGCGTCGCGACCCCCATAAAATGCAAATATGGCACAATCTTATTTAAATGAAAATGAGAAAATTTGAATATCAGTCAATTATCAATCCTCAATAACCAAGCAACGTTAATCACACACCAAGTTAATTAGTATCGATACAAACGAATGTTAACGAGCTGTATAATTCGCTCCTCGCTTCTTCCCACGTCTGTCTTTCGCACGAAGAAATACATTTTCACGAGAGGTTAGAGTTTCGTTTGAGCGAAGTTACCGGTATGTTTGCGGTGTACTCGAGCCAATTAGACGAGTCCCGTGGTAGGGCGCTGCGGTTGTCAGAACAATTTACAGAGACTTCAGCTGCGTCCCTGTCGTCGTCTGTATTTCCAAAGACAAAGAGCCTCGAGTAAAAGCTCAAAGACCGTTACCCTTGACGTAACAAAATTTATACTGTCAGCGTCCTTGCCTCTCGTGCACATTAAATATCCCCCTTTAGAGCCATATTGTAAAATTATTATTTTCACGTTAAGGATCTATATCGCGAGCGTCCGTAAGCTCAAGATAAAAGAAAGTCAAGAACATTTAACCCTCCAACGAGCATGGATTTTCCTACCGCAGTGTCGACCTTTTATTTAAACCAATTTCCCGGTAACCCCCGTATCCTAACGATCTGTCGTACGTGCTACGGGCTGAAACTAAATAAGTCGAGAAAGCAGAGATATCCCCTCCGTCGAAGGAGAACAAAGAGCTGCGAATAAAATATAGAGTATACCAAGTATCCACGCGATCTCAGCCAAGTGTATACGTTAGCTATTTAAAGTCTGCGCTGCACGTCTGGTTCTGCCAGCCGTCACTTCCGCTATCTTTATTGCCAAACGTACCGGATGTCGGTGCACTCGGTTCCTCCGCGTGTAATCAAATACAAGAGGAAACATTACCAAACGAAATCCCTTTGAGAGGGTACATTTCCTCTCTGGTCTCGTACCGTCGGGATTTATACGGCAATAGAATACTCGGTTATCCTCTTAGCCTTTACATTGATATTCTTTTGCGTATGGTTCTACAACTAAACGAGAATTACGAAACGTCCTGTATCGAAGGTGAGTGTGGAGGGGCTACGCCAATTTATCATTGTTAAACGATATCTTCATTCCATATCCCAATCTCTATTCTGTATCGGTCTCTTTGTACGCTTCGTACGCCCCCGCTTGTGTGGCTACGTTGATGCTGGCGCCAACGTCTCCGTCACTTATGAAGCCTGATGCTGTCGCGTGAAATATCGGATTAATTTGTCGCTATGGTCGTTCCAGAGAAAGGTCAAAGGACGTTGGGGGTAAATTCTTGAACCACCCATCGTGTACTATCCCTACCTCTTCGACCTCTGCCATGCGACCAAAGACGCTTTAGCCACTCTTGTCCGTTATACCAAACATTTCTGCTACGTTCTCAAGACCGTACTTGCCTAGTGGCCTGAACTAAGGTCGCTTGGTATAAATCATAGATAAGGGGATATGGTATACGAGGTGTCGGGAGATGTGTATATATATGTCGTAAAGGAATGATTTTCTTGATGCTGTCACCTGTATCTATACAGACAGAAACTTTTTCGAGTGTCTGTACCGTGCCTTCAAAGCCTCCTTTAATCTGCACAGACCTTCTACTTCCACAGTCTTTCTTTTATATATATATTAAGGATCGACCTCGATTCACCCCGCGGCACTTTTTATTGCCACCGCGAGGGAGTATATATGTATATCGGGCATAGGAGAGCTCAGCTACGATCCAACGTAGTAAATCGTTTTCACTGGTCTTCCGAGATACGATCGCCGTATCCCGGTTGCCATGACGCTTCCCTAGATTATCTTGGTCTTTACGGGAGACGATAGCCAGAACGATCCTCGCGATCTATTTGCGGCTTAATTTAACAGCTTCACGGTAAACCGAGGTAACGGGTAGCGGTCGGACGGACACGTGGAGTATACAGTGATCTGAAAGAATTACTAGACACACCCCCGACTAAGCCGTGTATTTTATCAGGTGTATGCAAGAGCTACGGCTGTGTCGATGCGGAATACATTTTGTTTTTTACGTTATCAACAACTCGACTGCTTCGTCCGTCGATGAGGTTACGTGTCTTAAATGTCCGTATTTGACGATTACGCGTCACCCGTTATGTATTTAAGGAGCCAGTAAATAACTTAACGATTATCGATTACTTTGGTTATCGACGAAGCGAGCATTTTTGACACGTCCTGTACACGCTCGACGATATATCCGGTGTACATACAATAGATTATCGGGAGTTCCGCAATTAATTCGCGGCTATCAATAATTAATGTTCAAGTGGCCATTTGCCGTTAGTACCAATATTACGGACGGGGCATTCGGATCTCATTATTAATAATTGACATTTTTTTTTTTTTTAAATTATCCGCTCCTGCTGTGAATCGAGTAGCGACGGTGATAAGCCCCTACTCCAATTATTCGCTGTAACTACTACCCGCTAACAATGGCAGCCTGAGTATTCGTTCAAATAACAGATACACGAGTGCGCATGCGCATGTACGAACGCATACGCATGGACGCGCGTGATTAATAGAAATAAATGAAATCCATTGAAAGGCGCGATATACCTGTGATTTATGTAGATGAACGTCAATATTAATTAGCATTTTGGCACGTTCGAGTCTGCACGATAATTTCGCATGGTTAAATATCTTTGGCACGTGCTCTACTCCCGTAACCACGTATTTCCGTTGTGCCTCACTCGCCGCCTCTCCCGTGGCTTCTTCCTCCGATTAATTATCCTAACGACTATTAATCGGCCCCACGGTGCGTCACATCATGTCGATTCGATGTAACGAAGGAGACCTCCTCCTTCCTCGTTCCCTTTATACACCCAGCCACCACTTCCGCCATCGCCGTCTCACACCCCCATTCGTCTACTTAACCGTGCAAGCGGTATCGCCCACGCAACAATTTTCCATATGCGCACGTGCTTGGGGTAGAGGCTCGCTAGGCCGCGCGTAAGTCTGCACGTAGGACGGATCGCGACTGCCAGAGCGCAGCTCTTTAACGTGATTGTCGATTTCACGAAATTCAAATAGCCCGCGAGCTACCGGTGGGGGACTGTACGCGGGCACTCTCGGAGCCGTCGGGCCGTTTTGACAACGTCCGAGCAGGTTCAGGGACGATCGGCGAGTGAAATAAATGGAAAAAATTCGGCGGACGAAAGATATCGAAACTTCGGACCTGTCGTGGACACACGAGGAACACAGCGAGGTCGGGTATATGGTCTTGAGTACCGTCGGAGGATTATTCAGGAAATTGATAGTCCGTGGTAAGTCTGGCTTATCCGAAAGAATTTGAAACTCGAAAAGATTCGTTCCGCGACGAGAGAGAGGGGGGAGACTACTTTTGTAGTTGGTTTGAGAAAACACTGCAGCTTATCTGACACTTCGCAAAGGGTCCCGTGTATATGTGTACCGAATGAACGAGTGCCAGAGTTTTCTTAAAAATAGAATTTCTTTATCGCGATGCAAATTTTTCTTCCTTATTCGTTTCATTTTATTATTTTCGGTAGCTTCCGTCTGTTGCTGCTCTCCTCGGCACGTTATTTCGGGTTACTCCTGAAAGGGGAAGAAAGAGAAGGGACGTAAAGGAGGAAGGGCAGAGGCACGGCATTAAGGAAAAGAGAAACTGGCCTAAGAACTCGCCTCCGCTTTCGTATTTCTAATTAGTCGCGACTAACGAGTTTTCGTCGCGATGTTTTGAAACCGCGACCCTCCGCCCGGGAGTCTCGTTAAAGTTTTAAAGACTCGCACCCGTCGGCGCGTCAAGTTGACGACGAAGACGCGAGAGAGGGGAAAGGAAAAGTTCTCTAGTCCGAAAGTACAATTGAAATATTCACAGGGTCGGAGGAGCTTCGCTCGTGATCGCCTCGTTCCTCCGCCTATCAGACAAAACACCGTTGTCCGTCGGCGCGTCGAAAAATTCGAGGGTACGTTTCTCGTTGACAACGAGACGCTTATTACCCGTTTGCACCGATCGTTTGGCATCGCGGCACGAAGGGAAGCGTTATTGAAAAATATTAACTTCTTACGAGCTTCTTCGTATAGTCGCTAGATGGCAGTTGGCACTGTTGGCACGCTGTCTGGGAGAAAATGAAAATTGCTTGACGATCGATTCGTTAGATTGGCTGCCTTCCGTTTAATCTGACTGTCGAGTCTGACGCACGACGGGAGAGCTCGTTGTCTCCGTGGTATATTCGATAATTAAAAAGTCTGGAGGAGCTCGCGTAATGGCACTGGAATGATGTTCGGTGCAATGAAATTGAAAAGAAAGGAAAAATGAGCGCGTAGCACTTGACACGGCGAGGGATATAGGGATCATGAATTTGTTTTTATTTCATCAATTTGCATCAACTGGCAAAGACCGATAACCTTGATTGCGTCTGACCGTCTTAATGCATCGAGAGTTGCACCATAACGTGGACCGGATATTGGCCTGACTGATGTGTCCGGTTCTCCGAGTGACGTCCGCGTCGATTCTAATGGCCGGGGCCCTGGACTTTCTAGGTATTTTCTTCGAGCTCCAAGTATACCTCGAGACTTCTCGAGATTACCCGGTACTTCGCAGTGCCGGGTTCGGATTTATATTTAGACACGAGGAGGA